AGAAATCAAATTAAATTGGAACAAATTTTGCGTGATTCAAAATTGAAAAATAAATTAGAAAAATTTGTTAATTTAGTTCTTTTAGACATTTTGTAAAATACATTGGAATATAAATTTTATATGTGCCGCCAGTTTAGTTTGAGATAATGCTATATGTATATACGTGCTAAATGTAAAATATTTTAGCAATCTAAAGTTTTAATTTTCTATGAATCAAAAGTATCAACATAAAATTTATCAGTGGTTTCCTAATCTTTGAATTACGTGATAAATGATTAAGGATATCGTGTTAAACGTCTGTGTAGTGGTATCTTCGAAATAATAAGTGTCAGAACATGTAAATAGTGTCAGGTGATTGAAATTGTTAATCATCTGGTTTTTAATTTCACGATATATTTTTTTTATTTTACTTATTTTTACATTGACACTTTTTAATGTGATTATTTTTTGTCTGTAAATACTACACAATTGATGTTAGTGATTCAATTTTATGCATCCTATTTGACCTTGTTTTAAGTGTTAAAAAATTTGTTAGATTTATTTAATGTAAATAAGTAATTGTTCTAAAGTGTTAACAATGATTGAATATTGATATTTTAATTTTATTGTTTTTGCTTAAGTTCAAGCGTTTTTGAGCTTTAATTTCTTGTGACTCTTACTTGTTTCAATTCCTTTTCTCTGTAAGAATGTACCTTTATAATTTATTGAAGCAGTAATTTATTTACTTTTGATGCACAATATTCCTTATGTATTATAGAAATATCAACAATGTCTGAAAAAATTCCATCTAATCAACCGCAGCCTATCGTTAAGATAGGTCATTACACACTTGGACAAACCTTAGGTGTTGGAACATTTGGTAAAGTAAAAAGTATGTAAGCTTTTAAATAAATCTTTATTGCATTTTTATATTGAGTCACCTTGTGGTAAATTATAAGTTAGAATACACATATTAAGCACTAATACCTTATTTCTTTTTATAGTTGGAGAACATGTTTTAACAAAGCATAAAGTTGCTGTGAAAATTTTGAACCGTCAGAAAATCAAAAGTTTAGATGTGGTTGGAAAAATTAGAAGAGAAATTCAAAATCTTAAGCTCTTTAGACATCCTCATATTATTAAACTGTAAGTAATGATAATATGAGATGATGTTATGAAATACTAGATATTAAAAATAAATAAATTATTTTTTCTGTAATTTAGATACCAGGTTATAAGCACACCTACAGATATATTTATGATAATAATGGAATATGTATCAGGTGGAGAGTTATTTGACTATATTGTGAAACATGGCAAGCTAAAAGAATATGAAGCCAGAAGATTTTTCCAACAGATTATTTCTGGTGTTGATTATTGTCACAGACATATGATAGTTCACCGTGACTTAAAACCAGAAAATCTTCTGTTAGATCACAATCTACATGTAAAAATAGCAGATTTCGGTATTTGGACATAGTTGGGATTTTATTATGCTTGAAATGAAAATTTTACTTAAAGTGCAAGACTTCTGTAGACAATTATAA